ACATCCTGTTGGCGGCCCTGTCACTGTGCCCACTGAAGACGTCCGCCGACGGTCGTTTCTTTATATGCGCCCAAAATACTGTAGATGATGATGATGATGCCAAGGCCAGGCCTGACGCGTCGATGCAAGGGACGGTAAACTCCGAAAAGGGAGGCGCTTCTTTGTAGATAAACCGATTCCACGTGTTGGCCCAATCTTGCAGACATGACGAAGAGGTTAAATTGCCGTTGACGAGCTTGTAGTGCTGACCGGTTGTGGAAGGGATACCAAGAAGCAGCAACAGCTGCATAGACAGAAGAAGTGGATTAAGTGACATCCTGTTGGCGGCCCTGCCACTGTGCCCACTAAAAAAAAAAGGCACGGACAGCCCAAAGGTCGTATGTTTTTTTATTGTCTAAAACGATGCACGTTGTAGTCATAGACACGCAAAAAAAAAAAAAAAAAAAAGAACACGCATCGGGAAAAAGAAAAAATTTTTTTTTCCACTCGCAAGCGCGCCTTTTTATTTTTGGCACCCTCCTCTCCCGCTTTTCGCCTCCTCGCTTCTTTTGATTCGTGACATCCAAAATCATGAAATTTTGAAGCTGTGTAGGCGAAATTTCTATAATATTTAATAACGGCAATCGTAAAACATGTTTTTTAACGTAATTGCGAGCGCACTACGGCCCCTCTTTTTGAAATACCAAAAATCAAAGTCCGGTGCGATGTCGCTTCCTGGATTTGTATCCTTCCTCGGATAACTTGGCGGCGCTCGAGCAGATGATGATCGGTGAGTCGGAGGAAGAAGCAGGTTTTTTCCCGGTCGGTCCGCCGCGGCGCTTCGGGTCAAGGCGGCAACGGCGCTTCGCTTTGTAGCGTGGAGCGGGGGTCCGAGAGAACGTCGACTCGCAGGAGAACGCAAAATTTGACGTCAGCGCGCTGGCGCGGATCGCGTAGGAACTCCGAATTCGGCACTCGGAAATTGCTTTTTTACTTCACAAATATTGAATTCCCAAGTTTCGAGTTTTGAGGGTAATGTCCCGGCATCGTTTTGAATCGTTTCGGATAATAAAAGAAATTATGATTTTAATGTCTCAGTGCCCCTTTTATGCGCGCTTCTTGTTTGGGGAAGATGGGCGCCTACAGCCATAAAAAGGTTTCTACCGTCTGACGGTTGCCATTTGCGGTTTCCAGGGGGCTATGCAAGACGGCTGGACGAAGCGGGACAAAAGGGACCGGGACATCGCTGCCTGCTGCGATTGGTCAGCGACGTGGCGCCGAGCAATCGCAGCAAACGGCGATGTCCCGGTCCCTTCGCCTTGCCAGCTTGCATATCCCCCCTGAACGGTTCCTGTTGGTTTGTGTACTCTTGGAGTTTATTCGAATGATTGTCACCGGTTGATTGAAATGCCGTCCTTGTTGCACGCGTCTCTGCAGCAGGAGCTCAGAAAGCAGCCGCAACTTGCGAGAAATATGGCGCCTGCTAGTGATAGCCCCAGAGAGAGAGAAAGAGAGAGGGATTGGCCATTTATTCGGATCACTAAGAGTCAGATGAGAGAGTACTTTTGGCCGAAAGCGGCTTGGGCGTGTTCGCAAATACTTCTCGGTACTGATCACGAGCCGCATAGTATCCCCTAGCTACGGTATTGGCCAAAACAGTTAAAGGGACGGTGCAACGATTTTCAATTGGAATATTTTTCTATTTATACGAGCTTACTGTCGCGAATGGAGTCCTTGTTGCGGTGTAATTTCAAGGACAAAGGTGAGCGTTTTCATTCAATATCTTCTTCGCAGAACTTGATGACGTAACTGGGGGATCGCAGTCTCCTCCAGTGGCGATATTTGAATGCGGCTCATAGATTGGACCCGAGCATTGCGTGGGCACTCGATTTGGGCTCGTGATAATCCATAGCTCGAGAAGCATCGGGGTAATGGCCCGTGTCCAATCGCTGCCTTGATGACAATAGCCGAACCATAACGATGTGTGGAACTCAGCGCGTCCTAAGCCTTGCCAACCCCAGCGCGTGGCTATGATCGACATTGGCAGCAAATAGTCGTCTCCAGATCACGTGACCGCTTGTTCCGGCTGCGAGTTAAGGCGGTGAACTCTGCTCGTTTTTCTTTAATTTTTTTTCTGCGACTTCGATTGCGTGTGGTAAGCAGTGTTCGCGCAAAGTACAAATATCGTTGCATCGCCCTTTTAATAAGAGTTCGGATACTTTTATTCGACTTCGCTGCAGTTGAAGATATAATGAAATACTTAGCGGATATTTCACGACCTTAAAAACGTAACCAAAACTATTTTAAACGAAGGAAGAAAAGAAGATTTTTGACCTTTGTTCTTTAAATGCTTTGACACTTAAAAAGATGTGGATACAATCACTAAAAAAAAAATCCTAATCTCCCAACTCTGTTATTCTTTACTCACGACGCAATGAGTGATTCACCGATGGTGATGCTTGAGTTTGCTGCTGTTGAGCGTGTCGTGACGGCAAGCCTTTCGCAGCGTGTCCGCAGCGTTCATTTTTCGTCAAAAACAAAGTTGGGGCCGAAGTTGACGGAAACGCACGGATTGGGCAATCACGACGATGACTTCGCGTTTTTGTCGCCGACGTCCAGTCGGCACGCTCCGCGAAGTTTCGGATCCAACTTTGTGCTTGACGAGTTTAGGGCCCCGGGTCTGTTTTTTTTTGCTGGTGAAAGTGGGTAGTCGTTTTGAGGATGAGCTGGGAACAACACGCTCATATTTTTCCTCCTGCCAATATCGAGCAGAGCTGTGTGCAGTAATATTCTTACTTAGATCAATTTATTGTAACTTGCTGAAACTTATGTAAGTAAATGATTTCTAAGTTACACTGAAACTTTAGTAACTGAAACCTTTACTTCGCAACATTTTTGGGGTAACACGTATCTTCATCCAGTTTCAATTATTTTTAAAAAAACAGTGTGGCCAACTGCACAACTTTATATTGACTCAATCTGTACGCAAGCGATGTTGTCACGGCGCCTTATACTCTAAGGTGACTGAAGTGCTGAAGCAGGAGCTAACTGGGCCAATAAGTCGTTTTAGCAGATTGTCGCGATAACTCGAATAATTATAATAGCCTAAACACCGCCTTTGCTCAAGCGTAGTATCGTAATCGGGTATTGTTATTGGATGTATCGCATCGATATAATTAACAACCCCTCGTTTCCATGTTGGTGAATGATGTGTTGGTCAGCAGTCGCAGAACACCTCGATAACGTGGGACAGCGGAAAAGTGATTGGGACGCAATTTGGGTTACTTTTTTGTAGCTGCAGTGAGACACGTTTGTAGCTTGATTACATTTCACCTCAATAAACTTTGTTTCAAACATCATTCCACCTCAAAAATTATTTTTTACAGTGCCCCCCCCAAAAAAGTATTAATATAATTTTTACCCAAACCAATCGCCCATGCTTAGTTATTGCTGTCTTACTAATCTTGCGCCAGTTAATGTTTCGGTTCCCCTAGTAATTGATGATTCTCGGCGATGCTACCATGCTTGCGGAGAAAATCGTTTGGTATGGCGCGTTTTTCGGGAGAGCGCTGCGTAGCGCCATGATGCGGCTTCCGGTCTGTCGGCTCGTCTGGGCCCGTCGTCCCTCCGGCACGTCGTTAATCTCGCACCTCCCTTATTACGCGGCGCGGCAACGGTGCGCGTTAGGCCGCCGTAACAATTAGTGCGCGAAAATTGATGAACGAAACGGACGAAACCACCGTCGTCCTCGTTCCTACTGCGCATTCCGTGATTCGAGCCTGGTTTCATTCGAGCCCGCGTCGGTTCATTTTCGACGCGGGGTGTGAGCGGCGGGCCCGCATGCCTGCAGCATGTCCGATATTTTTTGCCGTAATTACAGTCATCTAAATAGCGTAAGTGTCTGTGTGTGAGCGTATGGGAAAGGGGGGGTTGGTTACATGTGCCGTGCGAGTTGTTTAAGTGATCGTCGGTATGATTCGCTCGCGATTCTATGCAGCCGTGATTGCTGCCAAGCGGTGCCCTCAGCATTTGGTTTTTGCAGTCCGTGCCGGTTCATTAGTGAACTCGCTTTCGTGGCGCTTGTTCGAGAAAGTTATTTTCTATTTTTGTTTATTTCTTCTAGCGTTTCAGCAAATTCCGGTCAATAACGACTATTAAAAGCACGGCCAGATTCTTTTTTTTTTTTTTTAGTATTGTCACGAATGACAAGGGATAAGGCGAGTGTGCATTTTTAGAAGCTTCGACACGCACACTGACCCCCATGATGCACTCGCAATAATTGTTTCACATCAGTAAGTCTAACCAATGAGAAAAGCGAGCGTTATCATCCTTAGAGGTCATGCAGCCCTGTTGTGACATGGGATACTCCGAAAGCTGGCGTGGGAATCTTTGTTGTCGATCTTGTTGGACTGGGGCGCTTTGGCGTCCTCCGATGAACGGGAATAGAAGCGGAAGACGCAGTTTCCTCTACGTTCAAAATGATGAGCTTCTTGTGTTGCAGAAAGTAGGCTGACTGGTTCGATGGCTCAGCAGATGCCGTGCCTGCTGGACAAACTGAACGAGTCCATTAGCACTTTGTTAATTCCAGACGAAATCGTTATACTTAGAATACGCTTTTGTTTAGGTCTGTATATCTCAGGAGTGATTAAAGTCATCGTATAATTATTGTATTTCTCTCTTGGTCGTCGTGTGTCGTTTTTTGTGAAGTCCGTCTTCTTTTTTGTAAACTAGATTTAAATCGCTTTACTGGGAGTCCTGTGTGATTCGTCTCGAAGACAATCACTCGCCGGTGATGACATCAGTTTTTTAACTCTACATTTGGACTGGGAGCAGTACGACCGCGACTTAATGATTGGCATTCCGAATGCTGCATAGTCGATTCCTTTTGAGAGTGGATCTTTTTGCAAAGTGGTGGTCAGCTCTGTACTGTGTTTATGGTTTTATATACTAATGTAGTTAGCGAGTTAATAATTATTTTTCTGCATTTTGGATAAGTTCGATTATCTACATTTTTGTTCCAGATACCTACGGCATTCTCACCAGTTACCTCAAGGTGACCGACAGCTCTTCTAACCAAGAGGAAATCATCGTCATGAACGGGTATGTATGAATGTTTCCCAAGAAACTTGGTGCCGCACAATGTTAAGAATTAGATCAGGCTTAGTACAATACGAATAAGCTGATGTTATTTCCAAACTCCTCGCTTAATTCTCACACAAGTTCTGTTTTATCGAGCTATTAGAGTCTTGAGACTGATCTCGCGTATTATTTTATACTATGGTTTTTTATTTGTTTACGCTTAGTGAACCCACTAGTGTCTCGCGAATATATGAGGTTAGATGGAAATGTTTCTGAAATCGCCGCTAGGAGGCTTTTCTTTCCAAAATATTTTTATGTCGCTTCGTTGGCAAACCTTCCGTATGAAATGACCACAAATGTCAGATTGGTATCTCAGAAAATCTGGCTTTGACAAGAATTTTTATCGAGCAACCATGAACATTTTCAATTATGCATGAAAACGAAATACATCGGTCGTTAAATTATTTTTATTTAGAAGGAAAAACTGCGACGGAAATCAAATCCGGATTGAATGCTGGTCTTGGGGCTTCATCAAATTTAATTAATTTATTTATTTTGAAATACTGCGACCTCGATGAGGTCATTGAAGTAGTGGAAAGAAAGCATACATATACATTCAAAAAGGCCAACGATTAAAGATGTACACACCCTACGGAACAAAACTTAAAAAGCCGCGGAAAATGCAATATAGTTTGTTTTCCAACATCAGTTTTTGGGTTTTCGAATTCAAGTGCGGTCGTACGGACACAAGTGATGAACCACGTTCAGAACGTCCAAAAACAGCTACCGAGCAAAACTTGTGGATACAATTCATGATTTGGGTTTGGAAGACCGCCACATAAAAGTGCGTGAAAAATCGAGGAAGCAGTGGGCATTTTTCCTTAACGAGTTGTTCATATTTTACACAATGAATGGGAATTAAAAAAACCTTCTGCAAGGTGGGTGCCGCATTTGCTCAATCCGGAGCTAAAATGCATTCGAACCCAAATGTCAGACGTCAGTTTGCACATGTTTCAGGCAAATCCAACGGATTTCAAGCGATGATTTGTAATTATGAACGGGACCTCGGTCCACCATTAAACACCAGTAACAAAAAGTCGATCGAAACAATGAACTGTGCCCGGTGAATCGGTTCCGAAGGAGGCAGACCATTGACTCGTCTGGCAAGGTGAATGCATGAGTCTTTTGGGACGCCAAAAGAAGTTTGGTTATTGATTGTCTTGAAAAGAGTAAAAATCTTACTGGCCAATACTACGCAACACTTCTGGACGAGCGAAAACAAGTAATTAAAAAATAAGCACCCGGGAATGGTTAAGAAACAGGTGCTGCTTCACCACGACAATGCACCTGCCTATTTGAAGTGTACTCGCTCTGCAAAAACTGGCTGAACTGAAATTCAAAATGCTTCTGCATCCACCGTATTTACCAGATTTTGCTCCCTCGGACTTCCACCTATTCCTGAAGCTCAAAATCTTCCTGGCTGGAAAGAGATTTTTGTTGAATGAAAAATGATAGAGGATATGAATAGTTATTTTTGGGATCTCGAAGAAAGCCTCTTCAGGGAGGGAATCAAGTGCTGGGAAAACAGTGGACCAAGTGCGTCGACCTTTGGTGGGATTATGTCAAAATATAAAGTATAATTTTAATCACATTTATAATATTTTATTTTTCATTCCGGAAACGTTTCAATCTGCCCTCGTAAAATACGGTAGATAAGTTATACCAATATAGAGAACAAGCTGATTGTAAAACAATTACCTAATACGTTAAATGAAAGACAGGTAGCATTACACAAAAATGCTGTCACCAGAAGCCTTTAAATTAAACGCTAATGGGACTTTTATCCTATCAATTAATAAAAAGAAAGGGTTTGTAATTTTTTAACGCAACCAGTTTCATAAAGTCTGAGCAACGCTTGAGAGAAATTTATTAAAAATACTAAAAAACAAAACAAAACAAAATTCTGCAAATGTATTTGTGGGTGCACAGAATGCAGATTAAGCATAGTTCCCCGAGCAGCTAAAGGCACTTTCAAGCGCAGAAATTATGCACATGTTCAGAACGTCTGCGCTTGCATCGTGCGAAGTCCCCAGCTGGTCGGGACCCAATGCCTGGGGGTACCATATTCTAAAACTGTAATTTCTCTTTTAAGCCATACTAACTGGAAAATTGGAGATGCAGGTACACTGAAGCAAGTCTACACTTATCTCCGGCCTGCATTCTTTACCGCGATTCACTCAAAACTCCACTCATTTATCTCCATGTACGGAAATCGTATACCGAGAAAGGAAACTGGTTGTCATGCTCCAATGGGAAGGCGATTTCAATTGGCATAATGGTTGCACGCTCCTTTGTGATATTAAGTGTAGGACAGTGTGGTAGCATTATGAACATTGATCGGTGTTTCATGTACAAGGCAATGCACTGTACGCTCGATAACTTCTTCGAGTCTATTTGGCTTACACTGTAAAAAACGCGGCTACCCTCAAATGCCTCCTTTCACGCGCATTGATTTTGTAAAAAAAAAGAAAGAAACAAAGATAGGGGTTTGTGCTTTAAAGAAATTACGGAATTGTCATTAAAATTTAATTACTAATTATTGTAATTGAGTCCCCTGTCGATACACCAGGCGCGTTCTAACAAAATGCCTTTGACAGATCCTTTAGTTTACGGTCTGTGTCACTTGGGGACCTGTCTTCCTTGAAGTCGAGGTGTATGAGCAATTATCATTTGAACATTTGAAATTTGAAGTCTCGTGAATTTCTATATTTTCCTCGTAACGCCACTCATTTGTCTTCCTGTAATCAGTACAGTCAATGAATATAGTGAATTGTATTTTGAGTCGATAGCTTTCAAGCCTTGGCGGCAAAAAAGTTACATTCCTTCTGCCAACAACAGGAAATAGCCAGACTTGTACAAGTAACGCGTTACTTGTATCCAGTGTTGTAGGCTTTACCGAAAAAAATAGTAACGAAATACGTTACTCGTTACTTGCAAATAAAAGGAACGCGTTATTAACCTACGTTAATTGAGAATAAATGGAACGCGTTACCGTTACGTTACCGCAAAAAGTAACGCACGTTGCGTTTTTTTTTCATTTTGAATTAACGTCTTTTCCTTTGTTGTTACTTAAAGAAACAGTATGTTTATCTAAAAACTGAACACTAGTATCATATATCTTATACGGTCCCACCTAAACACTCAAAAGAAAACAACGCAAAAAGAACGCAAAAACGAAAAAACAAGTTGTATAACGAAAAAATAGTCAGAGTGCAGGCGAGCTGGTGTAAGTTGAACATGATTGTAAACCTGAGACTGGGGTAGAAAAGAGAACACAACAGAAGGTAGAAAGACGTTGCCTCCTCTTTTTCTACCTTCTGTTGTGTTCTCTTTTCTATCCGAGTCTCAGGTTTACAATCATGTTCAAATTGTATAACTTGGTGTCTAAAAATACGAAAAAAAAAATTAAGTTTAATTTTTTTACGTTTTTGGGAAGAATAAATAACGAGTAACGTAACCACGTTACACGCTATTCAAAATAAGTAACGTCAGTACGTTACACGTTACTGTCCTTAAAAGTTCGCGAGTACGTTACTAAGTTTTCGGAGAAAGTAGCGCGTTAGCGGTAACGCCGTTACTTGTAACGCGTTACCGCCAACACTGCATGTATCTAGTCCCTTTTAGCGGTAATGAAGTAACGCCTCAGTTACTCTTTGAGAGAAGAGACGAGTAACCTCCTTTCGTTTCTTTTTGATGGAGTAACGTGGAATGGTTGTGGAGGGGAACGCGTACAACACAAGCTACGCAGTTTGATTTTTGTCTAAGGAAGGGAGCTCAACCTATGGATCTTAGTGTTCTAAAACATAAACAGATAGTTTCCGCAACCAGCCAGTACATTGAAGAGAGTTCAGACATATATAGGTTCGTCTACGTTTCCACACACCTGCATTACATATGGTTACAACTTCAGTAACACAAACCCTCAGTTGGTTATTCAAGCAACATATTGCATGATGTTAGAGTTCAGTATCTCCATGTCTAAACGCTGGAAGCCGGCTACTGCTACAGAAAAACGACATCTTTAGAGTAACCACAAAGAACACGTTCTTTTTAGAACCTCTCTAACGAGTAATGTACTTAAGTAACAGAAATGAATAACGACTAACGGTATTGAGTTACTTTTTATTCAATAATGTGTACATACATCGAAATGGCCATTGAAGCATAATACCGCTAGAACCTCTCATTGATCGAGCCGAAGATTGGAAGGCCGTTGCTACCATTGCGTAGGAGTGCACAACGCACTCCGGGAATTTTGAAAGAGTATAAGAGCGAGGGGTGTTAACCTGACGTAATATCTGGTTCACACACTTGCGACTTCTTATGACCGAGTGCGGTACGGCCTCTTGTGATCTCTTACGGCGAGAGAATGCCTTGGCGCCATCTATCGGGTAGCCGTAGAACAACTCATATTTTTGCCTATTTACCTCTCTTTTTCGCGCATCATTCTTTCACTATTGTATTGAAAATCTTCACACAATGTTACATTCGAACATTCCTCACAGATATTACGTACATTTGATCTCAGAAATATTGCACGATCTTCGCCCTAGTGAAATGCATTTCCACAGCCCCCTCATAAGGGGCGCCCGCCTGCCAGTCTGTTCTCTCGCCGTAACAAATTACAAGAACTCGGTTGTAAGCAAACGTAGGTGTACGAACCAGCCTGCATATTTGGACGACCATGATCAAAGTTTTTTTTTTTCATTTCTCTTTTTCTGTGCCCACAGGTGCTCCATCGACCCCTACATCTTTGGAAACTTCGAGACGCTGGACGGCGGCGACACGTTGTCCGCCAAGTTCCGGGCCTTCAAGTTTCCGGAATCAAACTACGTGCTCTTCGTGGGCACCGTTAATATCTGCATCAAGGAGTGCAAAGGGGTACGTCGACCGCCCCTGCAATCCCACAAGTCCCTCACTTCAAACCGCGCTAACCCTCAGACCGTTATTTAGCAGTAGGAAACAATTGAAAAAAAAAAAAAAAAACTGTTTTTGTGTTATGGTCCCTTGAATAGCCGTGCAGTCTTGCAAAAAAAAAAAAGAAATAAATGCTTTATTTCTTTTTTTTGCCACCGTAACAGAATGTTTACGAGCGATAATGCGATGCTCTCCACTTTGGCTAAACTCATGATTTGTGTTCCAGTGATTTGTGTTACTGGGGGCATCTAAGGACGCAATATGCATGTATACGACACCCTATTCAGGGTCTGCGTCGTCGGAGGAACTTGCCGCAAGCTTGCATCAGTTCCGCGCGATCTCCAGATCGCTTAATATTGGATAATAACCTCATGACTCAACTCACCATCGCGCCGCTGAAACTGCTCTCTCATCTGGTTGTCGTGCTGCCTCCCGATTTCGCCAGTTCACGCCACCGCGAGGTAACACTACGCACGAGGGTATGCAAGAATGCGGCACAAGAATACAGTAGAGAGACTGCACAGGGAGACTTGACAAAAGAATCGCACCAGACTACAAAGAATATTTCTCCTCTTCTGCCCTATCTTAACTAAATAAAAGGTTATTCTTCTTACCAACCGTTCCAGGCCAGTTTAACTTCGAGTCTGGAATATATATCATGGTCGAAACGTCTAAGTAAATGAGTTAAGTTTTTGAAGTGGCTCTTTATTATTTATATATATATTGTGACGAAGACGACGACGCAGGGGCGGTAGCGTACCTGACCATCACGCGCCAAGCTCGGCGCGCACGGCCTGGCTTCCATAAAAATCCTTGCTATCTCATTGAGTGGACGCGTCAATGTCATTTGCTGCCGGCCGCTCATCTTCGTAACAATATATATATATATATATTCTTTATCTCTCACTCTCCATATACGTATATATGCAATTTTTTAGGCGGAAAAAGATCCTTTTTTTTAGAGGGGCTTGAGCGCAAAAATACGTTTTTATACATACTTTTAGCAAGTTCTTTCACGGACCCAAAGCAGAGGTTCACTAATGGCATACCGACCGCACTCGATATTTCCCGCCGAGTTTCTTTTGATGAATGCACGCTCGTCGTGGCTTTTGTAGACGACATCATTTCTGTGTCGTGCTTCGAGTGCTCTTCCTATTTCCGTATAGACGTAGAAGTGTACTCGACATCATATCAGCAGAGATGGTAGTTTTTTCAAACGGAAACGGACTAGAGTCAAAGATTCAGTACTGAAGATGTGAGAACCGTCTTTAATTGCTGGTGATCTAGATGCGAAAGAGAGAGAGGATATTTAAAGTTGTCACAAACAAAAACAAAACGAGAAGCGAAATAACTCTGAGCCCTACCTAAAACAAAAAGCCTCCCCCCCCTTCGCCCCCCCCTCCCCCCCCCCTTCCCCGCCCCCCCCTCCCCCCCCCCCCCCTTCCCCGCCCCCCCTCCCGGAAGCCCTGCGGCGACTGTCGTCGAACTTCAGCCTGTCTTGGGGTGGGATCCACTAACGATGACGTGATGCACAGGCCTTGTCTTCTAGGTGGCATTGTCTAAACTCGGATGTTCGTCACCACGAGTGCATTCTTGAGGTGCGTTGGCGGCATCTCTTCACAACAGGAACAATGCTGTCGGGCTGCGACGCCGGCTTACTGACGAATGCCGCTTCATCGCGTAAATTTCGTCGAGCTCCTGCCACCTAATGTGGCGGGTTGGGGACTTCTACTGACAATGGCGTAATAGGGCAGGCCTTATCTTCTGCACCCTAAAACGTTAATCGTTGTATACATCCCCGCGGTGCCCGAGTGTCGCCGTTCATTTGTATTTTTCTTTCTAGTCGGTTAGAACGAGCTATCGGTAGCATGCCGTGAAGCTAATATCGAAAAAGAATTCGGCAGAGACACTCAAGAGTGCTTACGTGTAGGAATGCGAAAGCATCCCTACGCGCAGCGCATTCCTACAAGCAGCGCGCCACGTCTTATTTTTCACATGGCGCTCCGGCGGTGACATCACGCACTCCCACTGCGCAGGCGCGGCGAGCTCCGCCGGCTCCACGGCTACCGTGGCGATGCATCTGCGTTGCTGTGCTTCTCTTCGTGTTTTATTTCTGAGGCGCGTTCGTTTTGACCTTGAGCGCCCCGCCGGCTTCCGTTGCGAAGCATCTGCACTGCTGTGCTTTTGGCCGATGGAAGTTTAGCTGCCGTTTCGCTGCTACAGATTTTCACAGACAACGCCGGCTTCGCTCCATGTAGCAGTTAATGCTTTCGCATTAAAAGTGGTGGTCAACTTTTTTACCAATGAGTCCACATGCCCATCTGAATGTGATACCGCTTGCTTTTCTCACTCGCTAAACTAATCAAAGCGGAACACGAGTGATTGGAGCTGCATGTAATATAGTAGGTCAGACTCGCAGCTTTTCAGTTCATAATCGTTACGTTGATGAAGGTAAATAGCCACTAGAGACATATGACGTCCTATATTAGCTTCCAATAAAAACATCAGTTAGTCTGGTGCCCTGACGTGTCACAAAGCCATAACACTACCAATAATTGAAAGTGGAAACCGTGAATAAAACGTTCCTTCATTCGTCAGCGCAGAGATCGCCGAGTATGGCATTCTTGAAGATATTCAGGTTTCCAAATATTCCCTCCGAAAAATCGATGTTAAACTATCGCATTTCTGGACTTCGTGCTACGCCACTGTTGTAAGCCGAGCGGTATTTAATGTCAAAGATAATTTACCATTGCTAGATAATGCCGATGACCATAGATTACGCACATACATTAGAGCGCAGGTCAAACGTTTTAATGTGCTCCAAGTATGCCGCTACTTTTATTATTTTTTTACCAACTTGATCCTTGTGTCTCTGTACGTATATTTATATATATAGCACACGTTTTCTTATACCACACGCAATCGATGATTCATGTGTTTGCAATCTTAGGCACCGAGGAAAGGGAACTCAGAAAAGCGATTAGACGATCCTGCGGTGCTTATACCAACATTCAATATATGTATATATATATATATATATATATATATATTTTGTACGGAAATTGGTGGGGCAATTGTGTTGCATACGAGAAACTTTCTAGCATTACGTGACATCAGGTCACGTGACGCCAGTTTTCCCGCTAAATTTAGCGCGAAAACCGAATCGGTGTGTAGTTCACGTAACGTTTATTTTCCCGCTAACTTTAGAGCGGAAACTAAATTGACGAATAAGTCACGTGATATCAGGTCATGCGACGTCAATTTCCCAGCTAAATTTAACGGGGAGAACGAATTGGTGTGTAGGTCACGAGTCGTTATTTTTATCGCTACATTTAGCGGGGACATTAACGTCACGTGACCCGATGTCACGTGACCTATTCACGAATTCAACTTCCCCGCAAACTTTAACGGATAAACTGAATTGGTGCGTAGGTCTGCGACGTCCCGTAATGGAACTCTGCACGCGCTGCATTGTGGACGTGAGAGGCCACGGCTGCACGAAATGGGGCTCCGCGAAATCCACAGCAACTAGCCAGAGAACGTTTCACGCTAAAAGTTTGTGCATGGAGTATTTACTTATGAAGCCGCACTCACACTGCTCATAGTTCGAGCCCCACCCCTGCCCGTTTCGATCTGGATGAGCATCGTACCGGCGTGCGGTCGTGTATCACTACTGCGTGATGCACGTTAAAGACCCCAGGCTAGCGGCTGTACCGCACTGGCTAAATTGCTCATCTACAGCTGGGAGACTCGTCGCCCCTGTGAGGCAGACCAAGTTCTAGGCTGTATAAACACACACAACCCAATTTTTTTTCACACTGCTCATACATCCCAGAAAAGAGACTTTGTTCGCTGCTGGCGCGATAACATCTGCGGACACGCCTGGAGAATTCTCGAAGCACGTTTTCAATATACGTGTTATAAACATGTCTGCAGATAGTTTTTGTATGACCAATGTGACCTCATACAAGGACTGCTTCAGACACTGTCTGCACACTTTTTGTTTTTGGTATGGTGTGTTAGAAGTGTGACGGCGGCTATAGGTTCTTCGGCGCAGACTGTTTCGTCACAGCGTTTGCTGAATTTGGCTGTTTTTTCGCAGGTTCCGTGCGGAAACGACCAGTACGGCTATGGGCGCAGAAAGCGGGCGATACCGCCGCAGCTGCCCAACGATCCCAACAAAGTGTTCGAGGTGGAGCTGACCACCTTCCTCAAAGTGGAGTACAGGGACGAGCTTTTCACGCTTAAGAAAGGTGAGTTCCTGGCAAGCAACTCTCCGACGTCATGCATAGGCCCATGGGGCCAAAGTAATATAGGTGTCATTTATCGGATTAAACAAAAGCCCGCTCTGCAGAACCCAGGAAACCTAGGTCGTACCCAGGACCCATTTTTTATCCGGATGAGCTTATTGGCTCGCGTCCGCGTGTCACTGATTGCCGATGCACGTTAAATAACAAAGGCTAACGGTCGTACTGACCTTTCGTAGAATTCCCATCTGACAATAATATGATCAAAGCTAAGCATCGTCCTATACTTACCCCACAAGATCAAGACGTGTTTACCATTTGGCGCCCCGAAGCCCTTAGCCTACTCTTTAGGATATAGTGTACTACGTCATGGCATAACAGATTTCGGCCAATGCCCTAGATCAGGCGTGCAGAGCTGAAAAATGTAGTGGGCCAAAAGATGTTTATTGGAAACTGCGCGGGTTTTCAACATCTGGCAGACAGGTCTACAATAGCAATCATCATCGCACTGGTTGCCGTTTTGAGCACATCTCTCAGTGCCATGTCCGCGGGCTGCATGCTGTGCACCCCTGCTCTAGATTATCACATCAGTAAATAGTATTTTAAAAAAAGTATCGTACATGAGGTTAATACCAAACCTACATCCTCTAGTGTAAATCTTTCTCAGACCTTCTCTGTGCCCAACTTTGAATCATTGTTTTAAAAACAGTCGTACGAACTTAATATTGGACAAACAATTTTAAAACACTTCGATCGAATTCACGATAACTGCGAACGTTTTCACGGTTCCTTGCATTTCTTACACCTGTTATGGCAATAACTAGCGGTGTTTTTATGTCCTTTAGATATTCCATTCCTTGCCTTCTGACTTTGACCTAACATCCAAAAAGAAACTTTAAAAAAGCGCTTCGCCATCTCTCATTTCCCGACGACGTCCTATAATCCTTCGAAATTTTATTTAACAATTCTTTGCGTTTCTTTAGCTACACTATGAACATGACACGTCTCAAGACCATCTTCAACGGTGACAATTGACTGTTTTGCGTGAGTAGGTCTGTGTGCAGGTGTCAGCATACCTGTGTTTTCCCTGTGCTTATTTTTTTTGTGTCACGAGTCGCACTGCAATTGACTCAAAGGTTCTTCAGTACTTGGATTAGTTATTTTCGTCAGTTTACTTCTGTATTAGGTTCATTCACACCAGCCCTGGATGGCTTTGACGGATCTGAGTCGTTACGTAGATATGCTAGTCTGTTGAAATAAATTGTTATTATTAGTGTTATTATTAATAAGATTATTGTAGAAGACATCGCTCTTAAAGGGACGCCTTTGTGGATTTCCCTCCGACACCCAGCAGCTCATTACTGGAGCAAACATCTTCCTACCCTTGGCACTCTTGGAGGGCGTTAGGTGCAAACAGTTTTATGTCTCGCAGATTCCCTAGGCCCTCCCCATATGTGGCAATATTTGGTACCATATATGATTTGCCCCTAGCCATATATGACCCCATTGAAATGGCTATGACGGCCATATAGGGCGACTTATGCATTTATGTATGATTATACATAAAATATATCCGAGCCATGTATGAGCTTTCTGGTTGAGCAGTCCCACTGCTCATGCATGGTACAAAAGAATCGGTGTTCGATGCAAAGAAAATGACAAAGGACACTCCCTAGGTACGTTAAAGTTTTTCCGGACATGTCCGCGGACAGTTTCTATATGCCCATTGTCACATGGCTTTCATACAGGCAAGATACCTGCCTCACAGTGTCCGCAGACGCTTCAGCAGCGGCACAACGGCTTAAAAAACGCTCTAATGAAAAGAAAAACAATTTTGGTTCTTTCCGGGATTAAATGGGGCACGTATTTTGTTCTTAATTTTCCTCGTAAAAGTTTTTTGTTATACTTTTGCGCGCGATTTTTATTGCGTTAGGCTCAATTTAGGTGGAGTTCACTGCCCCCTTTTGGTCCCGCCCCTCGAAATGCTGGCCACACCCATTAATACTGGATTGGCACGGCTGCTCGGCTAAAGATGTTTGCGAGCTTAATTGATCCCGTAAGGGAAGACGTCGCAATATGGCGCTCCGCTCCAAACAAACCGTTGCTAGGGCCGTTGTAACGGACACCGTGAGGTTACAAATCGTCCGGTAAAAAATTGAAATGATCTTTTGTAAACATCGTGTCTTCTGAATATCTAATCACGAAGACTTTTTTATCGTCTCAGTACCATAAAGTGATGACAAAAGCACGTACTAAAGTCTCACAACCTGTTTCGCCTCGCTAGCAGACGACACAATGGCCTCGCTGGTTCAGTGGTTCTTTCTGAGCGAGTACACGACAGTGATGAAGATAACGATGGGCGAAACTTCCATTCTCGGGGTCACCTTTCTGCGGGCTTTCGGAAGCGTAGAGGGCCCGTGCACAGCATTGGTCGACTCTGGAGGTGCGCGAGCGGGTGAACGCCTTTCCGTGGAGCTCGCGGGAAGGCCCCCGTCTAAATTTGTCTCCGACGATCGCCAGACGCCATCATGAAACGGCGTTCGGTAAATAACGACCGAAATAACTAACAAAAATCAACAAAATAAATATGCAGATCTTGTATTCTGCATTCTGACGCACTCGGAGAAACAGAAATCGTGGCTTTTCCACTAATCAGTTTAGCAATTGAGAAAAGCGATGGTTGTCGTGTTTTTTTTTTTTTTTTTTTTTTGCCTGGCAAGGTGGGCGAGCGTCATTACGAATAATTAAAACGCGACCTAAAAATATTAGCTTTTGCAAGTCAGTTGTGCTGCTTAAAATATGAGAACTAGGTGCCTTCCGAAGCGAAATAGCAAAAAATTACCTTACCAAACCGGACGCGAGGCGACCACCCGATTTCTTTCAGCCAAACGGCTCGTAAATTCATATCTGTGTAGGTTACCTCTCAGTACTGAAACCAGGGTCACCATCAGAAGAGCTGCACGATTCTCAGAATAAGGAGTTTTAGTAGACCGTGTTTCCCCTTCCGCTAACCCTCCGCTACGAAGAAACCGCCACTGCGCCTGCGCGTCGATGGCCTTGGCTGTAGAGTTCCGGCTGGCGGAGGGGTTTAGCGCAGGGGGAAACACGGTCGACTAAAACTCGCTAGTATTTGAGCCGCTTTTACGGCAACCCACACATTTCAGCATCAAAACGCGCAAAGGAACAGATCAAGCCAGATCGAGCACACCACGTAGGACGCTAGGCTTATCCGAGCCCCGCTACGACAACAAGCGCACGCTCAGCGCCTCCGAAGGTGTGTGCTTGCGACAGTTTGCTGCAAACTACATAGGATGTCTTCCTCTATACACCTCGGTGCACGCCAAACCACTCCAACTTGTAGGAACAGGCGACCTCAACGAGCACGCCGTAACAATAAGGAATCGACATTTGTTGCGAGGTCTACCAAAAACCTCGAATCTAAAAGATCTGAACCTAGGACAAAGAAGTTGGGGATTAGTTCTAGACACGGTGCACCTGTAAATGTCATCGATGCCTATTCCTAATGGCACAAACATTGTCTTACTTCATGCGCCGGTTAGTCTTTACTGTTTTGTGGCATACATCACTATTTAAAATCTAATCGATTTCACTTTTGTTCCGGAATAAGCGGTTGAGTAGAGCTGCGCAAAATCTAGAAATTTTTTGCCCGTTTAAACGCATATAGCACCGAAATTTGGATTTTGCAAAATAAGGCCGCAGAAGTGTTTACCGGGGTTCTACGAATTCTAAAACATCACTCATTCAGCAATATCTCAGACGGAGGGCCGTATTTTTGGAAAGAAGGGCGCGATCAAGCAATGACTCCGACGTCCCGGTTCTCCTGGAACAGTTGAGAATGAGGGGAAGCGGCCTTGCGTCTCTCCTCCTCGCTTCGATTCACCAGCTGGACCGCTCGACGGGACGAAGCGAGGGGGAGAGGGGATGAGAATCGTGACGTAGTTATGCGAAACTATCAATAAATTGACTATCGATACTCGATAGTCGACTATCGATAGATTTTTTACTATCGATAGTCAGATTTCTGGCGACTATCGATACTATCGATAGTGCTGTCGATAGTTTCGCACCACTATCGTGACGTCACATGTCTTGTCGGCCTTGTCGGCTGTGTTCAGTCGCGCATTTCTTTTCGAAAAATACGGCCATTCGCTAGAGGTATCGCTGTATGAGTGGTGTTTTGTGGTTTTGCAGGGTCCCCGCCTATCGCTCCAGCCTTATTTTGCGAGCTCCAAATTTCGGTTCAGTTTCCCTTGAACTAAGGGGAACTACTTCGCGAATGGCTGTAAAGATGTCATCGCGCAGTTAAACCGAAGTGGTATGCTTCTGCAAAGTCACAAGTGGTAGAATTCTTAACCGGTGATGTGTCGTTTCCTTTTCCAGGCTCCATATCCGGAGAGTTCGACACTCGGCACGCGAACCAGCTTCCGCTGAAGCAAGCGGCTACCATCGACGGCGACCCGTCCTTCCTGCTCGAGACCAGTGCGGCGCCGAACCTCCAGGCCCAGTTGTCCAGCGCGCTCCTTGTGGTTGCTATGGTAGCGCGAAGGGTCCTCTGAACGCGCTCAGTCCGTGGTCCACGGTGCCGCTCAAGGACTGCCATCTGGTTGAGCGAGTTGAGAGACTCTCACCAAAAACGCCACCCTGGCAAGCCGGAAAAAAGATAGGAAAAAGAAAAAAAGAAGCATCGTCTTTTTGGCATTTAGCCCTCATGACCAGGAGAGAGAAATTCGCTTCTGCGAGTGACTTCGTGCTGGACCGTTTACGCACAATGTTGACGACTCATGTTGACCGATTTTGGATTTTATGTTTTTGATTTGCGTTAGAGTGCAGTTGGCTACTCACTGTCGGTTATCTCCGAGTCTACGCCGCACCGCGACGAACTCGGAGAAACAAATTGTTGCTTTCCAATTAATCAGTTTAGCAACTGAGAAGCGAACGTTATCCAGTGTCCAAACGTGGCGGAAGCCACTTCGCACTGAGAGTGATTGACTTTCGAAAATTGATACCGTTCGCCTTTTTCATTGGCTAAGCAAACTAAAGAAAACCAATACTTTGCGTTCCCCGAGTGCTTTTTGAGGCAGCCTACGTGAAAGCATTTCCAAGAGAGAATACAATTCCTCTTGAGGAGACCAAACAAACCAAAACCGCCAGCGTTTTTTTTGTTTGTTTTTTTGTATTGTAGAAGGGTTTATCGCACATTAGATTAACGCATCCTTCTATTCTCCCACCTGAAGGAATCATTATCAAAAAGTCTGCATCAACCTCGGGATTGGGATAGTCCGGGAAAAGCCGGGGCTATTCGAATGCGATACAAGTTCTTAGTGTTACAACTAAAGAAAAAAAGAAATAATTTCCGTTGGCGTTGATGTTGGAAGTTATGTTTATTGCAACCTGCATTTTGGGCCTAGGGAATATTTAATTCTATCTCATAGTTAAAATTTTGCTGGCGATAGCTACAAATACCTTCCTTCGGCGCGTCATGGTACTTTACATTTTCCGTGCAGGGTTCACCCATGGGTCATCAAGATTATTGAATAATTCACTCCGTATATTGTCAATATTTGGGCGTCACGAAAAAAAAGAAGCTTGACCTTGCAAAAAAAAGGTGACGACACAAAATACTATCAGCATAATGATCGGGTGGCTTGATAAGATCACTTTTAATTGTCGCCTGAACACGGAAAGGTATATAACGTGCTCACGTGGAACATGATAGCCGCTGTTTAGACTCAATTGTGTTTGTCGCATGGTCACTCTTAGCCGGTGACGAGTTTTCTCGCGGGTTAAACAGGTGGTGATCGAGTTTTCATGGTTTATATGGAAGTACATCTTTATTTGGTGTAATGGGGCTATGCTGTGTGCTTAGTGTTATTGCAGTATTTCTTGCTGGTAAGCTGGTAATTTATTTACCTTAATTGGCTAACCATCGGAAAATGAGCAATTGAAAAAAAAAAAACGCGTTGATTAAATAAAACGACTGCTAAGCATAGACGAGCAAGAACGGCTGAGGAGTGTCGCGTGTATGTAATTATGGAACCAAGTTTACAGGTTTTGGCCCGGTTCATAATTCCAAGAACGCTCCACCTCAAAACCATACGTACTAAATACATTACCTGTTTTGGTTTCCACAAGCGGGACAGAAATATTAATATTTTACGGTTGTTTACGAGATGGTTGGAGGGTTTGTTTGTGGCGTTTCTATATTTAGCACAACAAGACAGAGAATTAACGTGCTAAGGTTATTTGAAAACCCTCATGGATTACGCAGGTCAATAATCAAAGTATCACGCTAGTACTGATAGAATAGGGGAGTGCTGTGACTGGCCCCACATTCTTGGAGGTTGTAGAGCTACGCTTCTCGAAAACTGGTGGGCTTTGCTGTTGTTGATTTGTTTGTCGATTCCGTTATGCCATCGTTGTGACCTCGCGTTTCCGGAGATGGTCAATTTTATTCACTACGCACGTTTAAAAACGAGGCTTTTGATCGACAATAATCTGTCGCATTGTCGTTCAGCATTCAAAATATCGAATATCCCGCATGTAAGCCCCCTGCGCTGTGAACCGCTGCGCGCTGGCTCCCAAATTTCTGCGATATCATGGAGTGAATGCGCGTTCGCTAGTGGACCCCCACCGAGAACGGCGCTTGTCTCGCCTTTGCACGGTGCGCGTCCACGCCAAGCGTATAAGCGAACCGGAGCTCCCCGCAAGCCTTCCCCTGTTTTAGGACACCCCCCTTAAGTAGCAACTGGCTCGGTTGACACAACCGAGAGGATCATGCAAAGACGAACGCGTGTCCATCTTCGGTACAACATTTCCCTGAGGAACGTTTTTTTTTTTTATTTCTTAGCGTAGTTTTTGAGCACAGACTACTTCCAACACGCGATTTCGTTGGTAACAAACTGCTTTTATAGTCATATCGCCGTCTTCGTTCGGTAGCAGTGCGCACGATTGCTGTCGAACGAGAACTTGCGATACTCCAGATCGTTTCGTGGCCCACCCGCCGCGAGCTGACGATGGCAGCTACGTATTTTTAACAGAGTAACGTCCTAATATGTGGTCTGTGTCTCGTGATTACTTTCTTCCAGAGTTTGTTTTGTCTGTATCCGCGTGGCTCATTAGGGAGTTTTAATAGATCGTTTCGGCATTCTACTAACGATATCCGATACCGCACCGATTTCATCGATCCTGAGCGGGGAGACGTGGGCGAGCGATACTTCTCGGCAGCACCGTGTCTTGATGTCGGAACTATCGGGAGACTGCTGTGGATTGTGGAAGCTTTGCCGACTCCAGCTGACGCTTGACTGTAGCTTGCATTTCCATATATTTTCTAAAAGGACAATCTTGCAGAAGCATTTGATCACGTATCTTGTTTTCGTCGTGTCTCCAGTGAGATCATTTACATTAGACATTGGAAACATTTTAGATTCTTCCTAGACGTATGCGTATTTGACACATGTTTTTCTGGTTGGGTGAAAATTAGAATAACAGAGACTTCCAACCACTCCCTAAATGTGAAAGGACCCAGCGTTTCGAAACCGACGAAGTTAGAAAATATTGGTGCCGCTACTGAACGTTCATACTCCTTACTAGAACCACTAAATAATGTACGCTATAAAGTATTGATACTTCATCTCCAGATTTTCTGTTGGGCGCCGCCGTTTTGTTTTCTAGTGCACACTGGGTGTTTTAAGCGATCATTGCGAGTAAATGGCTGCTACTTCTTGTGCTTCACATGCGGTGTCGCGTAGGTCAGGCGACACCATCCTGCTGTGTTGCAGACTGTTTTACATTTCTCGAGGACAGAAAAGCGTTTCTTTCAATTGGAGCAATTCCAGATCAATCTTCAGATAACCGGAAACAATGGTTTTAATCAACAAGGCGGCTGTTACTCTGGAACGTGGCTTATTCGGTGGTTCTAGCCACGGCCCTAGAAAAGAGAAGGGAAGCCCTCAACTCTCAAAAAGAAACCGAGTTGGTTTCGAAACGTTTGCCCCTCTCATATCCAGGGATTGGTTGAAAGTGTATCTTATCACACGATAGATTGCTCTTTATTGTTTCGGGAACAGTCGTTATGTCTCCACCAGGGTTTGCTGCCCGGCGTATCAGCGAAATATATAGATATATTGTTTCGTTTTGATATTGGGTATTTTTATCAGGGTGCAAACGTCATCTACTAAACTTCCCTATTTTGTGGGTCCCAACGTTGATTTCGTTCTCGTCTTAAGCACTTTTTTTTTATTTTCCGAGTCATCCACATGGTGCGTATGTGTGTACAAATACAGGCAAAGACATTGTACAGTTTTTGTATAACGCTCAAACGTGGTGCCGCCGAAGCTGTTTTTACGGCGTACCTCTTGCACCACGATAATTTCGTAAACCTGTCATGGTACCGAGGTTCCGTTTCCAGAGCGCGTGTTTCTTGATTCCTAAAGAAAGGTCAAAGTTTCTGAATCCTTCGCGCTTTCGAAGTTTAAAGAAAAACGTTTTTTTTTTAAGGAACGCGTTTTGCGGACGAATGATGCAACCATTGTCTCAAAGACGCCACGACTGCCCGTATGCACTGTCTTCAGCATACCTCGGGCGCGTACTGAGTAAGAGGCATTTTAAGGTCCTGGTTGGATCGATACTCCACGAAACAGTTTCGTAAAGCTCGAGTTTCATTTTATGGTTTTTGAATGGCGAAATTCTTTCACCAAGTTCTATAATATTTATTAGAACGCTCGACAGCTATATTATTCTAGCTGAGCGCAACTGCTCTCAAAGTTCTTCTTTGGAATGCGAGTTTTGCAAGTGACATGTGGTCCAATCGGCCCGTAATTGAAATCAGCGAAGTTCGAACTTAAAAACGTCTCGACAAGTAGAGTGCTGTTGACTTCGGCACACGCGGAATAGCACGGAGGAGACAGTTCCCACGTGCGCGTGCAACTGAGCATTCCTCTCGTTGAAACGGCCTCACATCTTCCATTGCTCTATTTGCTCCAAGCAAGCCTGTAGCGCGATTCACAGCTTGTGTGGTTTCATTGAATGGGACCTGTGCGTGCTGATGATGAGGTGCTGCTTGCATTGCTGTTCGAGGTGTTTTGAACTGTGCTTCGCTGGCAGTCATAATCTGCCGAAAAGAGACACAAGCAGTTATAATTCATGGAAAGGAAATCGCGTTTAGACAAGCGATCCTAAAAAAAAAAAAAGAAAAAAGAAATGTGCCATGAACACAACACATCTTCATCGTCATAATCTGACACGGTCATCTGAAACCGCCATTCCATATGCGGTGCTCAATGCACGGGCTGGCCTTTTGATGTGGGCGTGCTGCCAGCGTATCTTGATTAGCCGTGTCTCACTGTGCGATCTCTCAATCCAGTTCGGGCGCTTCGTTACCCTACTCGCTTTACATGTAAGCTGACAGGGCAGCGAGGCTACAAGCTCGAGCCAGCGCGGGCTTCTTGCCTTAGAACATGCCTTGCTAGAGCAAACACACGTGCCGCGAAAGCACCTTCCATAGCCGCGATCTATTGCCTTTGAACGTGGCCCACATGTGTCCGAAAACTGCTTCGCGTCGCGCTGCCAAGAGGCGTTTCCATACTAACCGTCACTGACACTGTGATATGGCGGCACTGTGTTCGGCTACATCATAGCATCATGGCGGTTGCCATGGTAACGCCGCTAGGTACAGGTAAGTGCCGCGATTTTTGCTTACATGTTTCACGCTTTAGTACGGGCTGCCCTGTAAGCTTTGCGATGGTTGCGTTCGCACCAGCAGAAACGGCAGTGACGACGATATCATATTAGAATCACATGATGCCCGTCGAATACTTTTATAGCCTAGACATGGCAAGTTTCCTCGAGACGTTTCGTGACGAGGAGCTCAGCTTTATCTTTGAGCTTTGACCTTTGACCTTCCTCGCTAAATTTAAAGCCGGGGTTACACTGCTTATACATGACACATAAACGCAGTCCGCGTACAGATTCGAACGCGAGTCACCGCGAGATCCGTACTCTGAATACCGCATGGCATTGAGTTCAGGGACGAAACTTTGCACGGCGGCATTCAAACCACGGATATTGCGGTGACTGGTGTGGGCAGACTATTTTTTGTATAGTGTATCAGCAGTGTGACTCCGGCTTAACGCAGCAGTTTTGCGGCTGATATGAGCGAAAAAAAGATGTACGCCTTTGCACGTTTCGTGGATAGTGTGGAAAAGATTGTCGTGTAGAATGACAGCGAAGTAAATCCGAACACTCACGTATTCTCCGATCTATTGCGCTTACTCGGAACAGACCAGGGCAATGTAATTTCTGTGCGAAAACCACCATGCTACTTTTAAGTATGCCAAATCTTCCTAACGCCTTCGACTCATCTAATAAATATTCTTACCACACCTCCATTTTGTTTCGGTAGAACGATTAGCGGCAGCGCCGATGCCGACCTCAGTATCTTCTCGGTAGAAAAATGGCGGATAACAATTACTCTTGCCAAAAGGGTTTATTTTGATTCGGGTACTCTGGAAGTAGCTACTCTGATCCTGGTGACTCGTCGTCGCTGTCGTTTCAGTTCTTGTGAATGCAACGAACGTAAGTTTCTAAACTGGCCTTCAGCGTCACCATTCCGAATCACACTAGCGTGTTGGTCAAAAAGACGGCACAGACAAAACCTGACCGAACACGCGGATCGCCATGCTAGGTGTTCCTTACGTGTCTGCGTCCGCAGTTGATTGAGGCATTCGCTTGGTGAGACACGGCTCTCGGTTACCTTGGATTTTGACTTCGATTTGCCGCGGCAGCTCGTGTACTGAGAACCAAGAAAAGTGTCAAAAGGACATCCCAGTGTGACTGAAGTTGGTTATTTTTGTAAAATGTCCCAAAGCCACATTGATATATGACGTAGTGCTTCCCAAAACCAAACGCAGTTCCTGTTGTTTTTCTTCCTAAGCTGAAACTTCTGCTACAGTTGAATACTTTTGAACAAGAGGGACGCTTTAGTCAAAATGTCGATTTGTGAGAGAACTCCGGTTATGTATAGTATTTCTCAAATGAAGGCCCATTCACGCAGGGGCTTTTCTTTACGCTTTCTTAAGTTGCGTTATGAGTCACCGGAACATCCGAGATTTGTATGCCACGTGGTATTGTTCTTCACTATACCTATTGCCAAATTACGCAAGGATCAAGGAGAATGCCGGGAATGTAGGTCTGCGCTCCGCACGCGCTCACCTTCCCCGTATAAAAGAATCAAAGTAAATAACCAAAAAAAAAAAAGGCGTTGATGAACGCTCGTGCAAGATAAAATTTGTTTTAGGCTTTTGCTTTAGAACAGTTAGTGCTGCAGACGCCAGCACGTGCAGCGCGTTTTACTGCACTCGCAGCATGCTCTTTGGTGGCTGGGTGATTTTGCAAACGGTCTACTGGCTGCTACGCACGAAGCACGGATTTCCCGGTGACTCTCGACGTTAGCAGACGTAAGCTCTCGTAACATAACGCAACGTAAAGAAACGGTGCTCTGTGACCTTAGCGTGACTGGGCCTTAATGCCGGGGTCACACTGCTTATACATCATACAAGGGACTGTCTGCATACAGATTCGTACGAGAGTCACCGCGAGATCCGTGCTTCAAATTTCGGATGGCAATGAGTTCAAGGAGAAACATGGTACGCGGCATTCGAACCACGGATATTGCGATGACTCGTGTTTGCAGACTGCCTTTCGTATGATGGTTGAGCAGTGTGACCCCGGCTTAACAGGGACCTTCCGTAGATCGTTCGCAAGAGCTCTTCCTTGATAGCGGGAGCTCGTGTCGTTACATGTTGAGCGTGGACCGAGCACGCGCCCGCAAGACCCGCAATCCGCAGCTTACGATCTATGAAAGGTGCCGAATGCTCAGTGTAACCCTCGTCTCACGGCGATCTGTAATGGTACTTGTGTCAAGGGCTTATGGAGACGGCGAACCGGCACATGCCGAGTAGCACGTAGAGTCGGGATCGCCAGCTGATTCGCCGACTCTCCCGAGAGGCCTTCGATAAAGTGTCATTTGAAGTGCACGTGGAGCAGGAATCAACATGTATCTTACTGGAGAGGGAACCTACCGGACGCGTCTCTACTTCGTTTTCCCTTAAATCCAGACGCAGTCGACGCTTCAGGCGGATGGGACCAATAAGAGAGCTTCAAAAACACACCATCATGGTCTTCGTCACGTTTCTGTACGTGTATCGCTGAACCAACCATAAAGAGAAAATCCCTAGTGGCCTGCGCGTTCGGCGCTGGTTGATTGCTCCCATTACCTCGTAGCTTCGCATGCGTATGGACCTAAGCTGAAACGTAGTATAGGAAGGTAACAGGATACCTTGCTGGGCTGGTTGGTTGAACGACATAATGAGAAACAGCGCAAAAGGGACAGGACACAAAGTAGAAGAAGGACACAGGACATACGCTGACTACCAACCTAAAGATTACTATAACCTTTGGTTATAGTAAACCAACATTGGTTTACTATAACCTATACTATATACTATAACTATATACTACCAAGAGTGGCTGAGAGTCAGTTGCTTCTCGTTGTGTGGTAACGGCCCCGCGGGGGTGCAGCGCTGGTACGAGTTCCGCTGGACGGCGGGTGCTGCAACGGAGTTTCTGTGGAGCAGGGTTCATTTATTCTGGTCACGCGTTTTGCAACGTGCTTCTAGTGCCGCTGTTCCTTTCTTTATTAGCATTTATCTCTTTTGAAAGAGAAAGAAGAGCTTGTACTTGCGCGGGCCACTGTGCGCGCGTGGAAGTTATAGTAAACCTTTGGTTGTTATACCGCATTCACACGGTCAACATAAAGGTACCTTTAACATAGGTCCCTTTGCTATCGGCGAATCAGCCCGTGCTCTTGTGTCGCGAGCACACACCACGTGCGGAAGATCGTGAATTGAGTGGCCGCAGAGAATAAAGGTCCCTTAGCTAAAGGTACCTTTACGGCGGTGTGAATGGGGTATAAGCCAGCGTATGTCCTGTGTCCTTCTTCTACTTTGTGTCCTGTCCCTTTTCCGTTGTTTCTCATTATGTCATAGAAAGGTAGGTGAGGTTTCGCTAAAAGCCTAGAAAATGCTCGGTCTTTTAGCCAAAACTGGGCTGCTACTAGGAGGCTTCCAGGATGTTGCTTTTCAAGTTCTTCTTACCGGATTTATCTACCTTCGCGATCTGTTTGTTACCTGCCTGAGTGTTCAAATAAAAGGTCAAATACTGCGCCCAACTTGCTCCAGTACTTCAATTGTTGGATTGTGTATGTATAAAAAAAAAGCATGTGCGTTTATTGTGTTTTGTATGTCTGAATGAATAGCCTATTTAATTAGCTTATTGTTTCCACTGGCTTTCACCCGAGGAGTCATATGCGAACTGTGTTCTCACAGGCTGGCCCGACCATCTGGCCATCTGGCCGCACAATATTGTTCATCCTTTCCCAGGTGTGTTCTATAGGGCGTAATCCCTCGAGACGAAATATCGATTTTTGTCTTTCGTATGACAAATTATATGCTCTCTTTTTTATTTCTTTATTTTTTTGCGATCCGAGCAATCTTTTGCGGCACCGCATGTTCACGCTTTTGTGGACAGCTGGCGACGCTCGAAAGCAAAACAAAGTTTGTCGACGAGCTGTGTTTGTCGGCTCCGCGGGCGATGTTTGCCGCATTTCGCTCGAGTGGGACGCGACCCTAAGGCCAAGAATATTCCGGCGACGGAACAATGTGAGAACACGGTTGCTAGAGCCGCGGTTTGCGTTACTAATGCACATATTTCTAATGTTGGAGATAATATAGTAACAAAAGGAAAAGACACATATTGTGTGAAAAATAATAAAGATGTCCTAACCTTTCATTGGTTTTGTGTTTCAACACTTGTTTCTTTGTTTGTTTTATGCTTATTTTTGAATGCCGCTTTCTGGATCAATCGCTGCTCTAGCGATGTTAGTCGTAATAAGGCTGATAGCTCAATTGAGTAGAAAATACTGTATCTGGATAAAATTTATCGATCACTTTCCACCAGGCTTTCGGGTACCGCAATTCTTCCTATCATCATTCTAGGAAGAAGAATCCTACAGATACGTCCCTTGATATGTAAGTATCCCTGTTGAAATGCATCCAAAAGCGTTCTCGAGCAATTGAAGGCGAATTACGCGAAGTGCAATTTCGTCTGCTTGCGGCC